AATATTGAGGCATTTTGGTCCAAGAATCATTCATTTCCAATCACAGTTAAAAGAGAAATTGAAAGTTAATGTAAGAACAGTGCAAAAGGCGCGGTCGCCAATGAGCTAATATTGCTTGGTGATCTCTGTAATTTGAAGTTTATCATTGGGCAAATGCAAAAATTGGAGGAAGTGCTTAATACGAAGTGGGAATGATTACGTAATGGACGATTAGGAGTACGTCATAGGGTGGATGTACATATGATTACGAAGGATTCCTCGTTATTAATAGAGAGTAAAGAATTGTGCAGTCAAAGACTATGAACTCCTATGCAGAGTTCCGATTGCCTTTTGGTCTGTTTTGTTTTCCGATTTTCTAATTTCCGAGTTCCGACTTCGTCTCTTCGTAAGGTCCTCACTCTGAGAGACGGCATTAAGGTACCTCAACTTTCGTCTTTAGAAGGTGAAATTGAATAGACCTCTACTTCGATAGGACTTGATAGCTTGGTCTTGTCATAGTTTTTCAATGGTAAAGTTGGACCGACTAATTTCTCAAGAGTGCGCCACGCTTCTGGTGTCAACCGTGGGTGTTTGATGCTTCATTTCAAGAGTGCGCCACGCTTCTGGTGTCAACCGTGGGTGTTTGATGCTTCATTGGAGAACCTTCTTTGGTAATCCAGTACCGATGGCTTCGTTTTGTTCAAACTTGCCTGAAATGGCATTACTTTGTTTATACTAGTTAATTTCTATGCGTTATTGTTCGATAATACTCGTTCAATTGCTTTTGCTGAAGCTCTCGATATCTTACTCTGTAATTACTATAGCTAAAACACTGCTGAAAACAAACAAAAGCTCTCAGAACGTCTTTCACCTGCTTGTTACTCACTACTGCTTACCGGCTACTGTTTGCCCAATTCGTGAATGTCTTCGGCGAAAAATCCTGAATTTCGTATTTCTTAGAGAAAGAATCATATTGGCTATAACAGTAGTATTGGGATTTGAGTTCTGTTCATCACGTTATTTACTGCAATTCCGTTTTGTTTACTTTTGAAAGGTGTCATATGTAAGTGCAGAGCACAGTGCGAGAACTTTCGTCAGAGTAGACCTTTGAGAATTATGTAAAACCATAGAAGATTCGCCTGTTTCCTGAACTTTCATGTCGTAAGCTGAAGGAAGTGCAAATCGGAACTCAAAACTTGCGAACCATGACAGTTTTTTGTTACGCTTTCAAAGAATGTCACTCACTCATCAATAGAACCTTCTTATTTGATTGCGTCAGTCATGGCTCATGACAGCCGAGCCTATTTTACGATCATGAGACGAAGTAAGTTTTTTTGATTCAATACGCTTTGAAAGAATTCCTTTCCCGTCACTGCCTCCATAAATTACTGTAATGAGGGGGTAACGAGATGGAAGGAATGAGGTAAACCCACTTTTCAGATTGAGATTCCAAAATAAATTGCTCTATTCCAAATTTTCCTCTAGAGTTCCCCTGAAGTGGTCCATTCAAAGAAAACCCTTTTAAGATCCCTTTTGGCATGTTCTGCATGCAATTTTTTTTTGCAAATCTTTCTTTTCTTTGAAAGATTTTTTCTTTTTTTGGTTTTTCCGCTTGGTGAAAGAAACATTCTACTCCTGGGCATCCATCCCCACGCAGAATGCAGCGCTCTACCTTAGTCGGTTCCTAGGCGTGCGGTCCACCTGAGATGGACCGGTTCATCGAGAAAACGGTCTAAAGCATGAAGATCGAACTGTCGTGGGTGTTTTTAACTTTTGTTTTCCTTACTTTGATATACTTTGATATACGCTGTATGGTAGTTCAAGATGGTCATCGAAAGTGCAAAGACAGGAGCAGATATACGAGCCTCCAATCAAAAGTTTACCTGCACTTCCTAGAAATCGAGTTCAGCAATAACTTTTCGTCGAGCGATTTGGAGCAGGCTATGAATACAAGAAATCCCTGCTTTTTCTAGTCCGATGGAGGCGGAGTGAAGAAATGTGCAGACAGAGACTAGTAAGCCCCACCATTTTGTTTCCTTTGTTCATGAAGAGTTGCTTGTATTTACGACGTTGGTTTCGTTTGCTTTCATTCCGTTTTCGAGTTCCGATTTTCGATTTCTGAATCTGTCTTTCTATGTACCACGAATCCTAACAAACACGGCGCTCCCTGTTCCCATTCTGTCTGAATGAAATGACTACCCACTTGAATACTCTAAGGCCTAACTATGATCTAACCAGGGAAGGATCCCAAGTCAAAGTAGCCATTTGAAATGAGACCTACACTGCTGAACGTGATTTTGGATGCTGAGTTCAAATCTGCTTTCCAAATTCGCCAATCGTTTCTCTGAACGGAGTTATGAGTGTGGTTTCAGGGAGCTTAACATAAGAAAGCCTAAAATACATGGATGTGCCTCGCTTCTCAACGACGGCTTGGTGTAGTGGTAAGCGTGGGACCTTTCCCTGGTAATTTTTTAAAAAGTCCAGAATCTTCAGACTTCGTAAAAGCACAAAGTTTACAAGAACTTCGGAAGTCTTAAACATCCTACCTATTCTTCAGTGTCTCAAGTTTGCGTCATGCACCATCGAACACCCTCTTCAGAATGTAATGAATTATTCAACGGAGCCGAATAGCAACTTGAGAAAATGTTTTCCAGAATGAGAAGGATATCAGTATGTAGCATGTACAAATGGCTTTTATCGAACCACTTACTCCACCTGTTGCCCGTTTTACCCTTATTTCTTATCTCTAAGTCGAGTAGTCAGAGCCAATCAGTCATTAAAGTCTCTCTGAATAAGTGCATTTGCTGTTGTTTCTCACATACACCCCACTACGCGAACGCTGACGAACAGGGAATTCCCCGGAGGAATGGCAGTCGAACACGGTGGCACTGACGCTCGTTTTAGCGCTTATTGGTCCCTAGGCGAACATTCGTTGATTTTTTGGGGGCTCACATCGTTTGGCAGATCCTTCTTCTAGCATAACATAGTCCTTTTTGCTGCAGAGCTACGAAGAGGTGGAACTTCGTGTCCGTGAATCTGAAGCCATTTCTTCAAACTTTAATCTCAACGTACCTTTACTACAATTTTTTTCTAATAGACTTCATACAAAGCAAGTTTTTTTTTTGCTTTGGAGCCTGAAAAAGTCAATCTCGCGTATTTCAATTCCTCTCTGAGATGTTCTCACGCACCCAAATTCATCCAACATCGCAGAGGTATTTGAATGGGTCTGTAGCCTGTGCAATGAAGCAAGGATCAGCTAGTCTGCAAGCAAGTGCCTTTATTTTCTTGGTGAGCTCGGTGGCTGCAGCTCGATATCGCGTTTTATGCCCTCATGTGTACTCAGATTGAATATCACTTGGTTTCAGGTTTATTAGGGTTCTGAAGAGCAGGAAGCCCACATCAGCGTTGTCTCATCCTTGTTCTTGATTCATTCTTACTTATTTGTCAACTTACAACCAGAGTAGTCCTTAAGACGGATGGAAAAGATCGAGCAGTTAGGATTTCCGGGGTCGGGAATGACACACTGGCATCAGAAATGGTGGGGGAAGGGGTGGGGATAGAGGGCGAGACGTAGAGGTGGAGGTGGGAAGTAGTTTTCTATCAGAATTAGGCTCAATTGATTTCGCTTTACTTGTTTTCTTTTCGGCACTTCACTGATTTGATTAAAAGCTTGATTGTTTACATGACTTGATTGAATGCTTATCCTTTAGATCCACAGGAAAATAAGAGAGCCATCTGTGAATTTATGTAATTTCCGTTACTTTATATCAATATCGTTTGATAATTTCCTTTTGTTTAGTCGTGAGAGTGCTGGGGCTTAAAAAGAAGCAAGCGCAATGGGAAAATCGCGATTTTCTCAGCCAGAACAAACTTTTCGTTCGCTCAGATTCTGATTTTGCTTGAGAGACCAAGAGATTTTGTCAATTGCTTCCTTTGAGGCCATGCCTGAGGTTTGAACTGCCTCCAAAATTCTGAATGCAGATTTAATTCATGGGTTTCTGCGAAGGGCAACATCATGCTGATTGTCCATACCTTGCATGAACTTTCCAATTCTCCCGTTAAACAACTTCTCTCTCTTGTCATCACTTTTATGTTTTTCCTTTGCCTACAATCCTTCTTTTCAATCTCCTTTTCCTTGTCGTCCTTCACTACTTGCTCTCTTTTTTCCCTTCAGTCGAAGCTTTTGGCATTTTCGCTCATACCAGTTTTCCTACTTTATTCTCTTCTTACTTTTTTCTTACTTTTCGTACCTGGCTACTCTTCTCTCCTCAATAACGCTTCTCGTTTTCGATCACTTACGTTCCTTTTCGGATCCCATGTTCACGTTACCGTTATCTTTTACGATTGTACTTTCTTCTTGTCCACCCTTTCTACCAAATTTGACGATTTTTTCTTTTCGTTGGGCATCGTTCATAGTCCGCGACTTTCCATGAACGTCGCCGAATCTGATACCAAGAGGTACCATGAACATATTGATCGATTGGTTTGTCTTCTCAATGTCTTAGCGATGGACTGCCCATAGTTTTCCCTCAGTTTCATGGAATGACTAGATTGATTGCATTTATTCCACCTTTTTTCCTTGTTATCTGATGATTTCACTATGTCGTTCGAGTAGATGTTCTTTGGTCGTTGATTGCATTAACATTTTGTTATTCGTGCATTTTTTTCGCTCGACTACCATGATAGGAGAAATTGATGAGCTTCCGTCTCCACGCCTTCTCCTCTCCCTCCCACATCTCCTCCTACACTATAGAGCTCATTACAGAATGATGATGAACTGCTCCATGCCTCCGCCGGATCTCACGGTGACGTCATCGATTATGTCAATCGTTCTCTGCTATTGTGTTGTATTCATTATTGCTTTCATCGGGAATGTCACTATGTTCCTTATCCTGTGCCGGTGAGTTTTGATTTGCTGTTCACTTACTAATTACCGGTTATTTACGTTATCTTGGGTTGGTACAGCAACGAAAGCAACAATAGGAGTAGTGTTCAAAGTTCGCGAACTCGAAAGATTCAAAAATCTGTCGTGAACGGCGCTGGAGAAACGGATGAGCGAGGAGTCAGAGGATTTTGAAAAATTGGAAATATCCATAGACCTCGTGAACTCACTATGTTCTGATCACTTATATTATAATTACTACAAGCTTAGTAATGTTATGAATTCGGTACTCAGGGAACAATAGTAATCCAATTAGGCTTAGATAAATTATTAATATTCTGCGACTACAACTGCCTACGATATCCCATACCAGTTAGCCTACAATCGGTTTAAAATTTACTTTGTTTTCTCTCTTTCATATCTCAAATTCTTTCTTTTATTAATATTCTATTTCTATTCTATTATCTTTGGCGAGCCGGCATTAGTTCTCTAGTAGGAATAGGAAATAAGAAAACTCTGAATGATTTCATTATCACCTATCAACCTCTTCAGAAGGCGATCTAGAATGTGATAGATCGAGACTGCTCCCTAACTTTACTGAAGCTCACAAAGCTGAGTTCGTGAAATAGGAAGACGTTAGAAGTTCAAGAACGTTAGTCCTCTACCATTTCATTTGTAACTTGGTGTCACCCTATTCCGTACTTTCGAGTTCGAGAGCAGTGGTTGCGATGAAAGAGGATGTGTGGCCAAGAAGCCCTCCTGGTGTCAGGAGGGCTTAGGCCCCCTGGTGTCAGGAGGGCCAGAAACAAAAAAAAGAAAGAACCCTGGCCTGGTTTAGGTGCGGTGACTTCAGTGGGGATATTTTGCCATTCAACTAACTCAGAAATCAATCTATACATTATTCACTAGGAAAAGATCCATTTGTCGTTTCTACAAGTTCTTTCTAGAGTCAAGTGCATGGTGCGAACTTGAAGGTTTGATTGGCTCCAACTGGATAATTTCCGCCAACGGTTTACTTACCGATCTATTCCAAATTTGGGAAGTTTGCCAGAAATCGAAGGCTGATAGGAAAGCTGATAGTAAAAGAAGCCAGTACTTACTATGTGCGTCTATTTCTGGGAGACAATGTAGTGGGCAAAGAACAAGGAAGTTTGGATCGCCGTTACTAGCACGTGTCGACAGAGGTCACAAGCTTCCTACAAACTGTTGGAATGACGTTTCATTTAGTATTTCCCTAAAGGGACGTTTTGTAGGATGAGCTTGTTCATTTGTCGGAAGCATTTGTTTCAAAAGCTCCCCTATCTGCATAAAGCTGGGAAATTGTTTGAAATATTTCGTAAACCAAAGGATCCATGTTGTTTCATTAGCGTCTCTTTCCCACGAATCAGCAGTTTTCGTTTGACGCACTTTTGAAGTTACCTTAGGCAATCCCCGTGACTAAACAATTCGGTGAAGTGTAGTCCTGCCACGTGAATGTAATTAGGAGTGGGTAGAAAAGTGTGAGAACAACCTTGAACCTCTGACTTCCGCCTTTCAGTGACTTTGAGTTTTGGCCTTATGATTTTCGCAGTATTATGACTCACATAGGAAGGCCCGAGGGATTGATGGTCATCACAGGAGTTTATTTGTTTGTCTATTTATATGGTCCATGTTCATCAACAAATAAACAGAAGCTGAATAGAAAAGAGTTGAGAGGAAGAAAAAAGAGCATAGAAAGCATGACCGAAAGGACATTATCGATGTTTCTGGTTTCCCATCTATCAGGAATTTCATACGTTGACTTTTGATTACCGTACTGCTATGACTCATAGATCTATGTAGATATGAAGAAACGAGCAAGGGTTATGGGAAGACGAAATATCATTACAGCATGGGAATACCCTGATACCCTGAGATCTGAATGAACCTCTCCCTGATTTATGTACTCGTTTCAGGAATCAATGGATCAAAAAACGTCGGGTCCATTCGTTGTTATTGCAAATGAACATTGCCCATTTAATGGTCACATTACTCTACATGCCTAAAGAGATTCTACATAATTACACCATAGCCTGGCATGGCGGTGACATTGTAAGTTTTTTCCTCATCACTACTGGAATTGTCTTCAATAAATCGCTCAAAAATGCAGTTTCTGCTGCAGTAATTCAGCAGCATACTTGATAGCTCACACGGTGAACATACTTACGGATGGATTCGACCCTGGGGACTGTTTTGATGTATATCTTCCCCTGAATGATCACAAAAACTTCCGCTAGACACTGACGGAGTGAAGAGTGGCACGTTCTATGGCACTATTCTTCAGTTACGGCTATTCGAAAGCTTTTTCTCCTTGATTCATGGGGAAAGAACCGTTTCCTTCTGCACTTGAGAAGGGAGGCTTTGTAAATGCTTGCCACTTCACATGGGAACGGCGATTCCCTTGTGAACATCTCTGGGAGAGGAAGGAACATCAACATGAACAAACGATTTTTTTTTTCGATTCCTTTGATTCACCTCCTTTGATGGTATCAGCACCGTCCTTTGTTTGTTATTGGAAACTTTTTTTCAAGAAAGTTTCTGTGCTTTCCCTGAGTCCCTCAGGACAAGCTCGAACTTGCCCTTCTCTTTTCTCCTAGAATTTCTTTAGAGCAGAATCATTTTTGAAAGGTCTTCTTCGAGGGGTACGGGAATGTCAAAGTTTCCCAAGAAACGATCAAAGAAGGCGTTTACCATGAGCGTAGGTATATGTTAGAACTCTTCTAACCAGTGTTCCCTTCAACTAGTACATCCTTTCTCAGTACATGAAAAACGCCTCGAGATAGAAGCGTCTTTCTAGGGATTCGAGATAATTGCCAAGAGTAATTTTTGAGAAGAGCCGATCTCATATTCAAAGTAGATATTTCTTAGAAAGCTAAGTAAAACAAAGAAATTGTCGTTGGGGTGCTCCATCTGCAATCATCTAGCCTCTGTCTTAACCTCAGGGATTTGCTCAAATTCTCCGGAACCTTTCCACCAATGTGTTATAGGCTTTTGAGGGATTTTATCCCAACAATTTTATTAGGTCAGAAGCGGTTCCCATGAACTTTGGGGAAATTCTGTCGAGTATGACACAGACGAGAAACGGAGGCTCTTAGACTTCATCGTCTGCGATCATGCTTTTCCGGCATGCTATAAAGCATTTCGATTTTTTCTAAGAACTGAAACCTGACATTTGATATAGTAATAGCACTGGTAGCATTGACAGGAATTTTTCAAAAAACCTCCGATTGATGAATTGTACGCGGGTGGACTACTGAGAGCAGCTAGCTGGTCATTGCCTTACGCGTGGATCAAATTCGAGCTGCACTGATGGCATGCAATCCTTCCTGGGTAGGAGCCAAGGAATGACGGCTCCACAGGAACGACCGAGGGTTCAGAGGTTGCAGAACGGAGAGACATCGGGTTTCAAAATTCATTGGGTCCAAAAATGGGACGTTTAGCGTAATTCAGCCTCTGTCCCCTAGTAAGGTAGTAAGTTATCTACCAAGGATGTAGCTTCTTCTATATATAAAATACATAGATGTTTATGGATGCACTGGGTTTTTCTTTCCGCAGCTGGTAATTATCGTCGAAAATTCTTTATTGGAGTTCATTGATTCCAAGGTGCGACTATTACGCCTTCCAGTGACCCTAATCTATCGGGCAGAGCTAACAAAAGAGAAAACTTCTTCCCTCCAGTCAGATCTATTTGATTCGTGATGACCTACCAGTTGACTTGTTTGCTCCCCTTGTTCTTGAATGTTTTCTATGAAAGGCTTCCCGATCGAGGAAGAAGTCCGTTCAGTGAAGTTCCTTAAGCTGGTCTTTGAAATTTTAAGAAGAAAAATGCTTAACATCGCGAAGATTATTTAGAGAGCTTAGAAGTCTTCCCACCCCTACTTTTTGGTGCTTCTCTTAATCGGCCATATTCCATGGATGGCTTCCAAGCCTGTTGTATAATCATGAAAGGTTTGTCCCAGGAAGCTCCCGAAGATCATTAGGCACTATATGGCTTATCGGATGGAACTTCAGAGAGAGAGAGTGAACATTCTGAACAGATGTCAGGAACCCTACCCTGATCTGTTTAGGCTCCTGCTACTAAAGGAGCTTGTCATGAGAGGCTTCCATGAAACACTCAAGAACCTTTTCTGGTATGTCCTTTCACGGGGGAAGCTCCGGACGCTTACATAAAGATGGGATTTCGTCGATTCTCAAGGGATGCCTAATTGGTTAGCCTTTTTATTTACTCTGTGACGTTCAAGCACTAATTTTCCGTTTAGTACGTGCGTTGTTTTCACGCCTGAATTCTTCGTCACATAATTATGCATCGTCTTCAGTAGTAATTAAGTAGACACCATCGACCAATACATATTTTTGAGATAATGACTGTTGTCAAGGAGAAGTAGCTACTGCTCTGGGAACTTTACTTGTGTTGGATACCATAGAGAGTGGAGGAAGGGGGATCGGGATTCGGTCACTGCACTGAGAGAGAGTTGAATGGAGAACGCGAGTCAGATAGCTTCTTTTCCACTCCAAAGAATTTAATAAAATCCTCAGAGCAAAAACAGATAGTGCGAAATAGATGAAAAGTTAATCAAAAGATCGTCTGCCAAGGGAAAAGAGCAATAATGCCTTCCGAAGAAATCGAACCTCTCGTCGTGGGGATTTATTTGCAGTCTGAATCAAAGTGGTCCTACAGTACATAATGCTGCTGGTTTTTTCTCAAAGTCGTCAAGAGAGAATTCGCAATGCAAATTTGAAACACTAAGCAATTCATTAATTTGCCAATCTTCCAACCGAACTCCCGATTCTGAGAATAGTTCGAGTGCATGGCGTACGCTTCGTAGGGTACTTATTTTTTGCACATATCTACGCCATCTTTGTTGTGACGCATCTAGAAGAAGGGTCTTTCCAGTGCCATTTTTAGCAGCCATTATAGTTCAAAACTTTCGAACTGATGGCTCATAGCTGTAATGGGTGGTATGTCACAGTATAGCATGGACCTGGAACACGCTCAATCGCTTTTATGATTTCGTGCTCTGAACATGTTCATGGCTTATCAATGAGTGGTCATTATTTCAGTTATGCCGGACATGCAAATTTTTCGATGTGTTTGGTGTTGCTTTATCGGTGAACATTCTGATTTGTATTTCACTGGATCGATTCTATTCAATCTTCTTCCCACTTTATGCGATGCGAGCCAGAAAAAGCGTTCAGAAGATGGTAATCGTCGCATGGGTTACCTCATTTGCTACCAGTGCCCCTCAGGTCAGTCAGTGCTTTTCTTTTTTTCGTTACAGTACTCCATCGTGATACCGTTCGGTTTACTTAGAATGGTGACGTTTCTGAGAATAGAATGACTAAGAGAAGCCTCTTAACGATATATATTGCGTCAGAGACCAACGGTCATAGCGGCGCTCCAATAAATGTTGAAGCCTGGATCTCTAAAGCCATCACCGATCACGTGGCTAAAGGGATTTGAAAACTGGACCTGTATATCCAATTTTATGTTAATGCAACGTTTGAAAAGTGAATAGTTGCAAATTCGCAGTTGATTTGACGTTGGGACCACTTTATTTCGGGCTTACATAATTTTTTCGAGTTTACATAATTTTTTCGAGTTTTCTGGCATGAGGTATCTGCGCAGGAAAAAATTCTGTAGAGTTCATGTTTGAAGAGCGCTTTTTCGACATGCATTCAGTCTTTTAGACTCATAGCTAGAAGGGGTAATACTGGAGCCAATTTTGGGCCAATCTAGTAATTTGCCACTTCATTAAGGACATAGAATTTTGAGGACAGGTCTGTAAAGCTAATGGATAACTGAAGAGAATAAATAAATGGAGTGAATAAAAAATAATTGGGTAAATACGTGGTTGTGCGTAATTAAATGTTGACTGCAAGCTGACGAACCAGTTCAAAAAATGTGATGAGGGTTTACTCTCTTATGCGGCCTACGCAACCATTGTATTACCTCCTTTCTTTGCTAAAAGATATTGCTACCACAGTCTTATTATAGTTGTCTTTTCTATTTGTTTTGAATTTATCAATACCCACACGGGACTGATCGCGTCCTTTCATGGTGCTCAGTTTGATATTTGATGGATTTCTAGAGTACGAAANGGATAGTTCACGCTTAACATCTTGCATCACGGAGCCAGCCCTCTAAAAGAATCACACCTCTTCTCTTCTTACTTAAAATCTAATAAAATCAATAAATTCTTAGATTTTAGACGATCTTAGATTGCCATCTAATAGGTTTGTCAAAAGTGGGAGATAGAGACATATCAGGTCTGGCAGCTATATATAAACGGAGATAAAGTTCCTGTCTGCGGAGAAGTTGTCATAAAATGCCACAGGTTCATTACCGCCTCAACAGTTAAAAAAATAACGTGAATAAACAACCTTATTGGATCAGTTTTGCCAAAAAAAATGTATTCGCCGTTGTTAGGCATCGGCCATAGCAGCTATTATCCTGTTCAGTGCTTGCTTTTCTTTTCTCATTAACTTTCAGAGGATACTTTGTAACTGATGATAATGTTTTACAGTTCTACCTCTTCAAAACTGCCACTCATCCATGTTTTCCATCGTATACACAATGTGTGTCACGGAATCTCGTCAATGAAGTCTCCACTGGAGTGAGTTTCACGTTAATAGTTTCCTTATAAATAGAACAGTGAAGATAAATAAAAGGAAATGTGTAAAAAAAAGAAAGTTCTTCCTAGCTCCAGTTTTTTCACTTTTTCCTCTGCTTTTATTCCATTTCTTTGTTTTTCCCTTTTTATCCACAAAATTTTCTTTTCATCAGGAAATTAATGAAGTTTTAGGTAGTCTTCTATTTCTCAATACTCAATATTGTTCAAGTATATTTCTTTCCATTAATCGTCACGGTCGTTTGTTACTCCCTTATTCTTTGGAAAATCTCGGAGGAATCAGCAACAAAGAAGAAAGCCTGTGAGTTTTCAAGAAATTTTTGATTTCAGCTCATAAAAAAATTTGCTTTACCTTCTTCTCTTCGTCATTCATTTTTTATTTTATAATTTGTTAATATTACAAAGACAGCATATTGCTTTCTTTGTAATATTAACTATTGCAGATCATTCACAAAAATTTTCGCTATAATTTGCCTCTGACTACATATCTGATCATTGGTAAAGTATTGGAATTATTTTTATCGAGATTAAGAATAAATAATAATAATAATAAATAATAATATAAAAATAATAATATAATTAATAATAATAATACGATCTTCATGGGTATTGCATCGAATTTGTGTAAATTTGTTTCTTGTTTACTTTTTGCATGATCAGCGAGTACTTTTCAAGCGATTCATTTACTTTAGATTTTTTTGCCTCTGAATTTGTATCTATTTCAAACTGAATCTTTTCGATTCTATGTAATACTTATTTTCGATATATTCTCTTTATTGAGCTTCCGTTGGCACTCAACTGTTTGCTGACTCGTACAATATTGTAGATGATATTAATCTGTTTTTGAATTTTACTTGATTTTTGAATCATTTTATCAAATTATTTGTCGAATTAGTTACTATTGTTCACTTTCGAACCCACTTATGTTTTGCTCCTATTACACTGAGCTATTTATTTATGGCATTCCNGCATTCCATTACTTATTGCTATTTATACTTTTTGTAGCCGAAGTTTCGTCGGATACTTTACTACGGCGGAGTGGGTTGCAAACATTGCAGCGGGCACGAAGTCGAACATTGAGGTAGGTGTTTACGGGTATTTACACCCTATAGTGGTTACTGTACCTATTGCAAATTGGAATGCAGTAAAGAGATTTGCTAAATACAGTAACCTCTACATAAACATAAATCTCTGTCATCCATCTTTGGGCATTCTTGAAATATTCAATTTTCCTTTGTCATTTCGGATATTGTCCAAAACTCATCGCAATAAATCTATCGAATTGATCGATAAATCTTTTGGTCGAAATAGGCTCTATCTAATTTCGCGCTCAATTTCTTATCCCGTCTTTGGCGAGAAAGTGCAGAAGATCCAATCCTTGGGTAGATTATCCTTCTTTAAAAGAGACACTTGGAAAAACTGGGACTGGTGGAACCACCAAAAACCACATCAGTAATTGACCCTTACCCATTTGATTGTAACTTTGATAGTTTCAAACCCAGCAGTAGAGGATGAGATGTGATATGATATGTCGTCCTTGCCAGGCGTCTTTATTTTCCAATAACTGTCCCGTAAAGTACATATGCAGTCCCGTGCCATAAAATGATGTCGAATCAGTGATTGGCCTTGTGATTAACAAGAATTGATTACTAAAAAAGTTAGAGTGGAAAGAACTAAGTAAAAACTTAAATACTGAAAATCACATAAGCTTATTTTCAGGATGACGTTTGTGATTGTACTGGCGTTCATATGCTGTTGGACACCGTATGCAATCATGATGTTCTTACATTTCCTAACGAAAACGGACTGGTACGTTGTTCTTTTGTAGTGGTTAATAGGACTGATATCTAATAGTTACACATCCTTTTCTACAATATTAGTACCTTATTTGAAAACTGACTAGAAATTGGTAAAATGGAAGTCTCTGGGTGACATGTCGGGGAACTTCAATCCTTCGATCATTCCCTCGGCGTGAGCCATGCAGTCGAATGCGATTCAAATTTTTCCAAGCATATGTATTGAGCCTTTTTTCGGGCAAATGTGTCTGCCAACCGATAGTTTTATCATTTCCCTCATCATACCAGTAATACGTCAATGTACATTAACAACCACTGATTTCTGGGCTACCACAGTCTGGACATGTTCAGCACTTCGAAGTACTGGTTACAACTTGCTTTAGTTAATCCCAGGTTGTGGTTTGGAAGTCCTCAACCACGAATCGCAATATTCCTGCAAGTTAGTGTACGAACTGGGAGTCTCTATAACCCCATAAGAAAGTCGGAGGCATGGCGTACCCGAAAATTTGACTAATTATCTCAGCTTTATCATATGACATTTCAATTCATTCCTCCTGAGATAGCCAGAGCTCACAACTTTGTTTTCAGGATTCCAAAAGATGTTCGGAAGTTTATCTATGCGTTCGCCGTGTTCAATTCGGCAATCTCTCCTTATCTCTACGGTTACTTCTCATTTGATCTAAAAAAGGAATTGAAACTGTTAATTACTTGCTCACGAAACTCAGCATCAGAAAAGAATCTCTCATGTTCAGCAAATACTGTACGGTTAGTTATTTAGGGATTCTATCATTCGCTACAAAATGTTCGTAAGAACTTTTGTAACTAATCGGTTCCTTTGGAGGATGATCTTTTCAGCAACAACACATCTAAGCGGCTACGTAAGCGTAGCGCAAGTGCCACCCACCTCGACGTAATGACGTCTAAACTACTACCGCCAACTCAGAATATTCGTGCACATTCTCTTCGAGATAGCCGAAAGCAATCACCGTCTTCTACTGAGAATCTGACGTCCGAAAAACCTATCCGGATATGACGCTCATTCAGATATATATGTTTGTATAAAGATGATAATTTTTATATCCTGTTCTGTTGGATTTTCGCAGTTCAGTATGACTGATTCGTTACCGATAGAAGTTCACTATAAAACAAAGAGAAGTGTTTTGTGCATTCTACATATGAATATATTCGTATATCCATTTTTATTCTCTCCAGTAAGACAGTCTGACTAGACATATTTAAATATGATACAGCTCCTGAATTGGTCACCCAAATGGGTGCGTTCAGAGTTCAATGACGTATCGACCGACGGCGTTGCTGGCTACGTATTGACAGGGCAGGACAGGTTGCGTTCGACACCGCTACTGCCGACGCGACCCTGAACGCAACCTGTCCTCTATTGACAACACGTGGCCAACAACGCCGTCGGTCGGTACGTCAACCCTGATAGCACCAAATGACGGCAATGAGAAATACTGTTCTGCTCCCATACGATGAGGGGCGCGCGATTCACGCGTGACCCCATTACAGCTCTTTGCGCACGCAGCATCGTTTCAGTACCTTTCTGTTGAGATGGACCAAATAAATTTGCAGTAGTNTCTTTGATCCTAGAAGATGCAATCCTGCAAACGTGCATAGTTTGTCATTTCTTTACTTGTTCTATTTATAAGTTCTTATTTCTTCCGTTATGATGGTAGGCATGATGTTTAGCGAGTTTTGTCCGATGACCTATATTTACGCGTGAATCGCACTACACCCCCATGCGATGAGTCTGCCGTCTTATTTGAGAAATCAGCGGTTGCGTAGCGTATCGCGTTTACATAAATGTATCAAACTGTGGGACGCCGAGAAGACTCTGTTCTGGGGATGTCATAATGTTATCCAATGATCTTCTGGTGAGCTCATAAATGATTATTTTTAAAATCGCCTGAGCCTGCACTTTCTAGAAGTACTAGATTCGTCTTGAGCAGAAGCAGGCTACCCAAATAGTAAGTGCATGATTCATGTAGGCAAATAATTCCTTTCAAGATTCCAAGTTAAGGTCATATGTATGGCATTCACCAGAGTCTTTTGACTTTGCCATTTTTAATCCCTTTCCATTTTCGATTGTAGTAGTATGCATCCGAAAAAGGTGCCAATTTGTATTGCCCATCTGAAAAGCAGGTTTTGGGCCGAAAACGCTTGCTTGGGGAAGGCAGTCAACAGATAGTTGTTGGGCTGCTTTTTGATGTATAATCGATTCATATGCCACTGAAAACAACAACAAGATGGGAGTGCAGCACCACAAGGGACGACTGCAGCAGGCTCCAAAATTTCAGGCTTCAGTGGCTATCATAATCCTCCCACCCAGAATAATTCACCATTCCACGACATTTCTTTTGATTTTTATATTCAGATTGTAGGTTTGTATGAGAGTGAAGTGATCTTGGCTGTTGATCATCTTTTTTCTACCTAGCGTTAATCTGGCGTTATTGCAGGGTTTTCCTGTTGTCTTCACCAATTCCGTCTCTCCAGGGCATCTTTTGCCGTCACCTCGGCATCGGCAAGGTTCTTGCTCCTTCTAGTCCCGCCTCCTCTTTCGAGACTCTTTGTGGCCGCTCTCCTTGAGCTTTGAACTAGATTGCTTCTCTTATCTGGTGACCTCATGTCCATCACAACACGTGCCCATATCATCGCCCAAACTGCTCCCTCGCTTTCCGCCAGAGAACAACTGTTTGCGTAATTGTCCTCATTTCATCGTTTTTAGCCAGGGTACGCTCGCCCAGCCGCAGGTACATTAGAATGTCCTTATTTTTCCTTGAAGCCCAATACAAATTTACCTAAGGTCCAGAACTTTCTGCCGAGCGGATGCAAAAATAGAGCAAAGTGAATCCAACGTATTTCGGTATCCTTCCCTCAGAGCGCCCTGTAGCTCTTCGATAGCACAGGATGCCAAGACCTCCTCAATCACATCCATGCCGCCTTTATTCTGGCCTTTACCACCTGGCGCATGCCACTCTTTGTATCCGCTCCCCTTGAGCGGCTATGTAGGTCTCTCCCAGGTCGGCAGTGCTCCTTCTGTTGGCTTCTCCGAGGCCTGCTAGAATTGACTTCACGCAGTTCTGAGTTAAGAACTTGGCAAAAGGTTCCCCCTTCGAATTCTATTTCGCCTACCTGCGCCACGGCAGTCTTGGCGAGCCTTTGGCAACTCCTATAACTGGCTAGATCTTCTTAGCTCACGTCTTATTCCAGTGCCCATAAACGCCTTCCTTCTGCTTCAAATTCTGATTAGAATTCATGGCAAACTAAGTTTGGTGGATCGGAAGCTGAAGGTCTAGAATACCATCCCCTTGTTTTCTTAATTCTTTGGCGTGGGGTTTCACTTTTCAGCTTGTTGCAGCTCCAAATCCTCCGCTTTGACCCATTACTATCTTCATATCCTCGACTGTTTGTGGTTTGCAACTTTATACTTCCCTTTTCGATTTCCTTTCATTCCATCAATAGGTTATCTTCTGAGTTTCCTTCTTTGAGAAAAGATGTTGCAACTAGTAGGTTGTGGGCTGTAGCCAAATGAAGGATATCTGTTCCTTCGCCGTTCCTGTTTCTAACTCCTCCATCCCTCTTTCTAGGCCTTTACGTTCATTTTCAACGTGATCGGTTGGTAGACCTTCGACCTTGCGGTCAGGTGGCTTCCTTCTGATGCTGTTGTCCAGTATCGTTCCCTCGTGTTGATCCTCAAGGCCGGGGTTCGGTCCTGCTGACAACGGAGATAGATGCCTTGGAGGATCTAATTCTCCACTGTCACCCAGCGCTTACCTTATGCTTTTACTATGTAATACTTTCATTGTCACTTTAATTTAGTTGGTTACAAGTCATTTGTCCCAGTCAATGAGAACAATCGTTGTTATAATGAATAGTTCTAGAAGCAATTGATTAAAGAAAAATGCATAACCTAATTAACTTTATTCTTTCTTCCTTCCCGTTTGTTTGTCTGGTACCCTTTGTCTCTGCCACTTCCTCTGACTTCTTTCTCAAATCATTTCCCCACATCCAATGTTGTTTTTTGAGTGGCCCTTTTGATGCAGTCTGAGGTGAACCCGTACGAAGTCATTTCACAGTTCCTGACGCTTTTCAGCGAGAGAGGGGAGAAAGAACTTTTCAGTGCAATAGCTGACGGAATTCCGAAAACACTTTCTATTAGCTCAAAACCATGGCAACCATTTATTCTACATCAAATGCTTAAATGGTGTTCCATTAAAATATTGATTACCGTAATCCCCAATTAGGGGTGCCCTTTAAAGTTATTGTTATATAAGCTATTATTTCGTGCTTTTAAGCATCGCTGATCCCATGCTATGAAATCCCCATTCTCCTTAGTAGCTCAGTTTCCCTTCAAAGGTCTAACCGAGTAGTAAAAAAGTTTGAGTGTCTGTGGAGCAAACCAGGTACTGTAATGAAATTACAGTATTTCGGTTGGATATCGCGCTCTATTCGAACTAATCGAAATAAATTAATGCGCGATAACATCGGCTTCCAATCACTTATTTATTTGGATTCGGGTTGAACCCCCGTAACTGTCTTATCATTCCTTATCATTGTGGTATTTCGCGGTTTCCATTTGCTTACCCATCAATCATCATTGATCGGTCTTCCTCTTGTCAGGTCAGGTACTACCAGATTGTTTAGGACTTGGACGTTACCTCTTTACGAGTTTACGAGCGAGTTCTTCGAATTTCTGAAAAATTGGGTTTTTAGGATCCGTCGACGAACATTAAGAATTGCTGGATCAGTTATGGGAATATTTGATGTTGAATACCTCTCAAAAGAGCATCTGAAAGGCTTTAATTCGTACAAGGTAATGGTTTAGTAATGTTAAAGAAGTTAGTGGTACAAATTAGTTATTCGCTCCAGTTCAGTAGCTACCGGTATGTTAGATCAAGTGGATCTTGGTCGGTTTGATCTCCAGACTTCGATCGATATCGAACCTTCTAGCAAACGCGCCATCATTCCTTTGCAGCTCCCTTTTGAGCTCAGTTCTCAATGAGCTCAATGAATACTGGTTTTTCAAAAATTTATATTCAATAAATCACCTTGGTTACTAGGTTACTATGTAGGCTTCGAGTAGCATGAGTTTTTCACGGTCCGTCATTTGTAGCTGAGAACTTAGCATAAATTCTAGAAGTTTCTATGAGGTGGTAGGTTGTAGGGAGCTCCTCTCGGCCTTGGGCTAATCTTAAGTCGGATTGTTGACTTGGGATGATGGTAATGTCTGGGATGTCTTGAAGTTTTTCTTGGCTTCTTGATGGATTCCAGATGGGAAAGGTTATGCATTTGGGGAGGTTTTAATGGGGAGTATTTGCCTAAAATTCCTGGGGTGCCGTGCACTCTTCTCCGATCTTTAAGCTTTCATTCGCTTTGAAAGTTGAGAAGTTAACGGTCTTTCACTCTTCAATCACGTGAGCTGTGCATTCTCAAGATACGTGACGAGTCGTTAAGCTTTGAAAACTCACGTGATTCCTCAGCGAATTTCCATCCAATCCATTTTTNTTTTTCCATTGTCTTCTCGGTTGCTTGGCATTTTCAATGCTGTGATTACCTCAAAAAATCTACGGTCTTCGTGGTGTTTCGATTTTATTATTCCTGTAGAATTACGTAATACATGTCTGATCTGTTTGACTTTGTGGGCTTTCGTTTGAGGGCAGGGAACACTGAACGATTAAAGATTACGTTCTTTAAGTGCTCTTAAAAAATAGCTCCGCAGGACAATAGCAAACTCCTGTCTTCTTTTTGACATGTATGACTTCCAAAAGGTAACAATGAAAAGTATTCTAGGATTTTCTGGTAGAACGTCTCTGACTGGCAAGGACATATGAAACATAGTGAGCATTCTGAAGTCCTTTAAGTCGTTCTGGTTTTTTCTTGTTTTAAGTCGTTTTGGAATACGAGTTCAACTCTAGTAAGGAACACAGCTCATTGCAGCAGGCTGGAAGCGTTCCTTTCAGTTTATTATGATCGCTGTTATCAAAATTGTTGATTTCACTCAGTCCGCTATCATCACTTCAGCTTAACTTTGGCTTGAACATTGGAGTGAGGTTGCGTTACAAAAACGGTCCATCTTATTCGAGTTTATGTTCATAAGTGAATTAGGAAACGTAAGTAAACAACATGCAGAAGGGGGTAGGGTGTAACTGTACAGAATACAATCATCCCATAGCGTATATGTTAGATTAGAGTCTCCGGAGAGAGAAACCTTTAAAGCTAAGGCCGCCATCAAAATACTTGCATATTTCTACAATGCAGCGCGAGAGTTGTATCCAAATCCAGACTCGATCAATCGATGTCGAACGAACTCCCTGGAAAAGCAAAATGATCTCGAAGTTTTTGGGTTGCTTTAGTTTACCTAGGGTTATGGTTCCAGTTCTGTGACCTCGAGATTTCGTAGAAGAATTGATTTTTCCCAAAGCTTCTTAACAATCTTGTAACATGTCGAAGTGCGCATGGGTTTCTCGAAGATACTGTTACTTACTCTTCACCTTTAGCTGGTGCTTACTGAAGAACAGATGCTGATAGGATGTTTCTCTTGTTTCTCATTCGCATGTGCTTGTGTTAGAACCTCCTTTTCAGTACTCATGTATCGATTCGAGTCCAATCTCCATGTACATATCTCATCCATTTTGGAACTGGATAGTCAAAGTGAGTTATTTGACGAAGGTTCAGTTTGCTTTCGGTTGATATTCCTCTTATGCAAACCCACAACTACACTGGCTTCAACAAAATTTTGCTTTGTCATGAATTTATAATATTGGCCATATGGCGGAGATCAGCGTTCGCTGTGCACATTTTTTCAAATAATTGGTTCACTATGAGCATTAGTCCTTCATACATTCCGCAGAGGGATCTTCCACTATATCAATGCATAGCCAGCCATAGTTCCCTTAACTCTCTCCTGTTCCATTACACTTGTGGTTTTTTTTTGCACAAAACGTAACCCTATCCGCCTCTCGTTCCTCTTGCAAACCTTATGGACTTCACACAGTTTCGTGTCGGCAGTATCAAGAGGGCGCTATCTTGAAGCTTTTGTCAATATCGGTGGTAAAGTAAGTAGTCAATTTTTTTCCAGTTTTATCCAAGAACATGGGCTCCTAATGTTCTCACGCTCGTCGGATGGTCGCTTGTGATGGGTTGCTTCTTGTTAGAATCGGTGCTCGATTATGACCTCACCGCGAATAACGAAGATTCCGACCACCCTGTTCCTGACTGGTACGTCATGTGAATAGTACGACCGTAAGAGTTGAGTGCGAGGAAGTCCTCAACGTTTCTTTCTGAAGGTTCTGGCTGTTAGCTGCTATATGCACATTTCTCGGTTACACCTTAGATGGCACGGATGGGAAGCAAGCGAGACGAATAGGTGCCTCTGGCCCTACCGGGGAACTATGTAAGTCACTTTGTCAGGTTTTTTTTTTACGAAATTTTTGCTTTCACAGTGCAGTTTGGCTAAGTTCCAGCTATCTTTGAAGATTTTTTTCGATTTCAGTTGATCATGGACTTGATTCGTGGTCCACAGTACCTTTTACAATCACCATTTTCTCTGTATTCGGTAGAGGTGAATTCAGGTATGTTTAGAGCATACAGGTTTTTGATGCTTTGAACTCGATTCAAGTTTTTCCTTCCACTGCTTCTGTTTTCTTTTATCACTGCTTTCCATTACTTTTTATGCAATCTGCGCCTTTCAGTGTTACTCCTATACATTTGCTGTGTGTTCTAATAAGTGTACAGATTGTGTTTATTGTTACTCATTGGGAAAAGTACAACACTGGCGTACTATATCTTTCGTGGGGTTATGATGCTAGTCAGTACGTGAGTCATTCATTGTTTATATTTACAAAAATGTATTCTAATAAAATATTTCCAGGGATTAACCTTTATTTATCTATTCACGTATTTCGTCGGTTATGAATGGTTCAAGTTCTACGTCTACAGCAACATTAACTTTGCTGATGTTTTTGAGGGATTCTTCTATAGTGGGTTTGAACATTTTTATAAGGTCCCGATTTCCCTTCAATTTGCACCCGCCTTTTCTGATGTAGGTTTAAGTTCGTTTCAAAACACTTCGGGCAGGCAAAGAGCTGAACCCTACCGTCAAGGTAGTTCTATAAAATCAATCCCGTCATCGCGTTTCGTGTTGGCTTGACTTGCCAATTCTTATAAAAAGGATCGATACCCAGTTTAAAGGCTGTGACTGGGAGTGCAGAATATTGTTTTTGAAATTTTTTTGAAAAGATAGTCCTTTGATTGACTCATACCGAAGGCGTATTATTTAACTGGGTGTGATTGTAAAGTTCTCTGATGAAGAATTTGGAACGATAGAAGTGCTGTAATTGTTCTGGATCTAGAAGTAGCACAGCAGCGGGTAGTATATTTAAGTTAACTTTTATTCGGTTAAGGTCACTCATCTATGTTCATGAAAACTTCGGACTAATTTTGAGTTGCCCAGTAAAACGGTAGGAAGGGGCTGATGATAAAGGCTTAATCCCTTCGTGACAGCAGTTGTCAGTTGATCAAAATGTTCGTTTGCTGTCTATCCACCCCTAAATTTAAAAAAAAATATTTGAATCAGAGGTTTAGTTTACATTGTTTATGTTGCCTTCCAGTTGGGAAACATGCATTATTTCAGTTTGCTGTCTCATCTCTTTGATTATGTCGGCGTATAACATGTGGTATGCATATGCTGTAGATAAAACATTCAAGCAGGTGATTCGCTTTGCATTTCCAGAACAGCTTTACAATTTTGTTTGAGGGTTTGCTCAACTTCCAACCGAAAACATATTTTCTACAGAAATCAGTTTATGAAGCGGTTCGTCCGATATTTCCCTGTATTATGCTATTTGCTGTGTCCTTGATTTGGGCTACGTTTTCTCGAACAGATGTCTGCGGAAGAGATCCGCGAACATTCTTCTTTGCAATGGGCACTGTGTTCAGTAATATCGCAGTAGGTTTTGACCATTGTTTTGTTTTTCTTTCTCACACTTAAACCCTCAGTTAGGCCATTATTTCGTTTTAACAACGCCTAATGGGTTGTTGGGTTAAATTCCCCTCATTCTGCGGAGCGTGACCTCATGCTGAAGTGACTGAAGTGAATAAACATGAAGGAGCTAAGTGTGTGAATTGTCGCTCATTAACTTTCACGCTTTCAATCTTTACGGTTCGTATGAGCAGTTCAAGTCTATCCTTCTTTCCCAAATCGAAGTTCTCTCATACAAGCTAGTCTCGAAAGAAGAAAGAAAGCTACCATCCTGTTTTCTGATTCTCCCTAAAATAAAAGGTGTCGGCTCAGTTCTGCCCACTCCCTCTATGAGGCTCGTGATCATTGTGCTGCAGAGGTCTGGCCTGGACTTGTTAGATTTTCATGAGAAAAGTTGTTTCAGTGTCGTCTGATAATCTCACAAATGTCCAGTCAACGCTGTGAAGTCATGAATGCCCTACTATCAGGATACACCTTCGTAGCAGGTTCGTTGTTTTGTGATTTGACTTGTGTTCTTGTGATATTCAATGACTTTCCTTTTGTTTAAGCTTCTCGTAACGCAACGTAACGGTTATTACAATCTTTAAGTCGAGCAAATATTCAAGAGTGTACATGTAGCAGATTACTCTGAACCACTCCACTCTCCCATTATTGGGCCTATAGTTTCTGAATCACCAGTTGTCTCTGAACTAGGTTGTTCTTGATGGAGTAGCCGAAGTCATTCGAATTAATTCCCTCAGCGTGTTCAGTGTTTTCGGATGCTTCTGTGTTTATGCTCTTTTCTAAATACATTTTGGAAAATGCAGCACGAAATTTCAGAATTTTAAACCAGCACAGCTTATGCTCTCCTACATTCCGATTTGGTGTAGTTTTGAATTTTTTCTCATCTAGTGACTTCAAATTTATCTACGGCCTCCTTTATCCACTAGGCATCTGGTGAAAAAATGGAAATTGGGGTATTGAAAGAAGGTGTAACCACCCATTCCTCTCTTTGGCTTATTCGTTTTTAGCAGTAACGTCACATTGTCTATCAATATCTCCTACAACTAGGAGATTAGGAGATTCGCTCTTCCGTGGAAATTCCAAGTAGGGCCCTTCGTAACGATGTATGTTTGCCGAGTAAAAATATCTCAGTCATTAACTACGTGCATGTTTGGGAATATTATTATAATATTTCTACTATTATATAATATATTATAATATTTCCCAAAAGCCTGCAGTATGGTTGCTTTGTCTACACATTCATGGAGAAAATCAGAGCCATTAAGTAGTTTGTTCAGCGATATCGTTGTTGGTACCGAGTATCGAGCTGGCTCTTCTTCGAATTGCAAATGTGGTGATTGTATTGTTACACATGCACTACGGGATATGTGTTGTGAGTTATTTTGAGACGTTTTTGGTTACCTTTCTGAGTGTACTTTGATGCAGGTTTTCATTCAATACGCCTTTCATCTGCATTTGCTTTTGTTCTAGAGATTTTCCTTTCTTTTTAAAATTCCAGTGCATAGTCTAGGGATGGCACTTTTTATTCATGCCTTTTCCTTGCCCGTTTTTTGATCCTTTTCGTCCAGTTTTTCAGTTTTCATTCTGCTAACATTAAGCTACCAGCTTTGTATCTTTGTCGCTTAGCTTCTATCTTGAAACTACACAATCCCTCTTCTTCGCGTTTTATCCTTTGTTTCTATTACATAAGAGAAGCAAAAGTAGACCTATTGAGGAGTGAATGCTGTGACAGAGAGCAGTTTACACTTCTTCTAAATTAGTTGAATCAAAGGAAATAGAGGGAGGAATTTAAGCATGTTCTCAATGATCCAGACTTCCCGTATGATTGCAGAATCTGGTCGATTTCTATAATCATCGTAGGGAATTGCGCTGATAACGAGTTTGTTTATATGGTTTGTCTACCTGTAAGGTCACATTCTAGTTAAAAGTTCCAACCGTCAGTAAAGGTTTTTTTTNTTTTTTTTCTATCACAAGGGTCCTGCATAGATCGTCTGACTTTTCCATCAGTAGTAATCTGGTTTACAGATAGTACAGTTATCTTGGGTGCTATTCCATATGCTCAAATATCAGATGTTCTGTTCTAGCCCTTTGTATAGACCAAATGCTCGAAGACATATCTATATTATTCAAAGCAGAATTGGAATGCCTAGAGAATTCCAAAACAATCTGTTGTTATTGCTTTTGATCTTCCTGTTATCTTTTTGATCATTAGTTTCATTTTGATATGTAATTTTTTAAATCAATTGCTGTTGGGTTAGCTAGATATAGGCCTGACAGTTCTTTTTTTGGAAACTTTCTTTTTTCGTAGTCTTGCATTCACACTGCTGAGTGTTCACTTGAAATCTTTCTTGCACATTTTACTAATGCAAAATTTTACTAATAACTGTGAAGCATAGTACCCTTTTCTATTTCTGGCCTGGCTAAATTGCTGTTTAAACCTGTCAGGTGCTGCTCACTTTGTTGTTTGTGAAAGAGGCTCCCGCAAGATGCAAAATTCCGAAATTTCTCATATTATTCGGTTAATCCAATGCAAATTGTTTTTAGCATAAGAAAAACATGATTGTTTTAAATCTTAATAAATTCTTTAGGTACGACAGCTCTGCGCACACTTCAAAATTCACGCATTGGATGTGTCTTATTTAGCGAAATAGCGCTTATAGAATTGACTAGGTAGAGACATTTAATTGTTTAATTGTTTTCATTAACTTCTTTATCGATTCGTTGTATGTAAATTCTTGCCCATGACCCCAAAAAAANAAAAAAACAAGGTACGCTACTAGTTATATTCTCGTTATAGTCGTTATTGTTTTAGTTGAGTTGAATTTCTCTTTGAATAAGCATATACCCACATTAGAGTTTACATTACTCTTACTGTAAATCCTGTTCGCCATACGTCATACGTGGTGTCGTTACCGGCTTTTACAAATAGCCGCCAAAATTTTTAATAAAGTTTATATTGATATAGAGCTTCTGTACAGATCGGGAAAAAAATAGATTACGGTCGGGTATACGGACAGTGTTTTCGAGAAATTTCTTTTGCTAGGCTATTTTTGTCGTAAGGAATTCATGTGCAGAGAGTGAAATACATATCTTGAAAATATATTTGGGTGCACTATGTGCTGATTCAGTCAAATTTAGGCTCATAGATTTGTTTCAATGAGTATTTGGTCCATACAAGGGCTAGCAGTGAGTAACTGGCATTCGAATGAGTTTTTTGGTCGTTTTGCTGCTGATCAAACGATCTTTAGCATGATGAATGCATGGAAATGCATGTTTTCATTGAACCAGTTTTGATCCCGCAGTTCAGAGAAAACTTCGAACACAGCGTCAATTGCACGTAAAGAGCGTTACCGCTTGGGGCCTATTATGAAGGTTGAAATCATGACGGTGTGCAGTCCCTTTTCTGGGATGCGCCCCGCATTCGACTTCCATTTAAAGTCGTTGCGGTGTTTAGAATGAGTGGAATGAGAAAGTGGGACAGAAAATCACTACGGGAGAAAACAACACAATGCGTGAGGGAATTTCCTCGACTGTTTGTGAATTCACCGACGGAAAAGGTGCGCATATTTCATGCCAGTCATTCGTCGGTTGCCTTTAATAATCAGACAACCCTGCCGTCCTGCCATTAATCTTCAATCTTGATTTCACCTTTTGAAAGGTCAGTTTACTTGATGAGGGACTCAGGGAGGGATAGGGAGAGATCGAATTGATCCATCCGTATGAACTAAAATATTTTCATAACATTTTCTGTGGTGAGAGGAAATGAAAATTGAAGCTGCGTTTCGCTTTCACCGTTTTAACTCAAAGAAAACAGCAATGGTTTCTCCAGTTGTAGAGATTCTTGAGGTGTTTTAAAAAGTCTATAGAGTTCCTTCGTAGAACATAAGGCCAATGGACTCTAAGGGTGTTAGACTAGCTTCAACATAGTTTTGACAACGAATATGAATATGTATGTTTATGTTCATGTGTCAGTCGTTGGAACATTTAAAAACAACGTTCGACAAGCAAACCTTCAACTCGGTGAAGTATTACTTCATTGGCTGTGAACAATTTGATTTTTCCTAGATTAGGCCTTGATAAGAATTCCCTGTCGCCCGAACCTTTTTGTTTGTAGAAATAAAACGGAGGAATCGTACTAAAGATCTGTTCTTCGGACAAGAGCCTGCTTTTGAAAATATCATTCAGTATGGTTTTGTCAAACACGTAACGCACCACAAAAAACTGACGACTCTGAGCATCTTTTCACATTTCTTATGAGTCGCTCGTTAAAGAGATCCGTAGGTTTTTTCGAAACTGTATACTCCATCTGAGCCCTGTTCTCTATCTCAGTGTCTCTGTTCCTTTGACCGGATGCTGAAATCCGCCATTAAAGGTCGATCGAACAGCAATTTCTCTGCATATTTTCGTGTTCGTCGCCTCACGCCATCACAACACACGCCTCAGTAATCGTTCTTCTCGGCTCAGCTTTGAACCACTTTTTCAAGTTAGCCGAAACACATCAAATGAGCTTGTTTGAACAGTGAATCTTTTTTTTTTGAGCAAACCCTCTTTCTCGATCGAGTATGAATTATGTAGGTTGTTGGAGGAAAGCTTGTGAAGTGAGCTCCTCCAGCCTCCAGAAACCGTGCCATCGCTATTATTCTCTCATATATCTCTCTCATGCTGCGCTGTTTTCTTAAAAGAGCTTTCATATAATCAAATCAAATATTGTCTCTGACTTATAAAATATTACAGTTACACTTCAAATAGTCGATAAGTGACTCTATCATTGTCCGTCGCGGAGTTCCCACGGTATATAATTGCTAGTGAATTTGGAGGTTGTTCCTCTCTTTTCGGTTCTCTTTGTTTTCTCGGAGCCCAACTTCTGAGAGAAGTGAAGAAAGCCAGATGGTGTAAAAGAGTCTTTTCATGACTAGGGAGAGGAGATGTTGCTCGATTTTCAGTAATTTATTCTTCAAATCCATCCTTCAGCGCTACATACGATATATCTTCTTTTGTGTTTAACG